TTTTGGGGTAAGCGACTCAATTTCATGCTTTTTTTTATAGCAATTCCCTTAGGTACTGAAGCTTGGTTTGACTCAAGGAAAGGTGAACCCAGCTTAATTGCTTTTGTTTTCTATTTTCTTTCTTGATTCAGGATAGAAATGAGCAAAAAGCGTGAGAGCTTCATTTAGGTAGGTTTTTATTGTTTCTTTTTTCATTCGTCGAGCTTTATGAAGTTTTCACCTGTTGATGTTGCGTAAAATGATTAGTGTTTTGGTTCCTAGGTGAGTTTCTTTCTGTTTCTTTTTTTTCTTCGTTGTTTGAACTCGACTTGTAAACTATAAATGTTTTGGAAGTTGGAACAGTTCAGACGATAGGAACTTTCGAAGGCGCTTGTATAAATTGAAACAATAAAAACAACAAAAAACAAAAAAAGAGAGTTGGCCTTATCCCGACCTAAAAAGAAGTGAAACCTTCTTACCTCATATTCCAGATCTGCTTATGCATAGAAAGTCGTAACTTATCAGTTAGTAGCCATTATTAAGAGAAAAGAAGGTCTCACAAGTTGGATTCCCTTATTTATCAGGCGAGCGGTCCATAATAGCGTTGGGGCGCGCTCTGCCACGTACCGACGATCGCCGCTGCTGTCGCGAAGTATGAACGCTGCCTAAGAAAGAAGATAAGCGCAGCAAAACCGCTCCGGCTCAGCGAAGACGGGCTGTATCACGGATGAATGTAGGAGCTTGTGATGAGGTTGTTAGCTGACCGATGCTTGTTCCTTCAGACATGCTTCTTCGCCCCCCTCCCTCTTGGTTACGGAACTTAACGCTTTCAATAAAAAATATCCCAGTAGGAAAAACTGGATTTAGTGTAACATTATGTTGCTTCTAACGACTACGAAAAACCATTCTGAAGTTGTGTCTTGTGCAACTTCTGTGTGGCTTGAATAGGAGTTTCACTTGTTTCAACCTCGCTAGGCACAAAACTACCACAGCAAGCCACGCCCAGCCGGTAAAAAGAAGGTACTAGTTGAAGAATACTATTCAAACAGCATTAATAACTCTAATTATCACGAAAAACCGAGTATTAGCAGAAACCTCGACCCTGTCGGCCCACTGACTAAAAGCCACTCGCGAACTTTGCACATAACTAGGCATACTTGTGGTGATTTTCGAAGTGCTAACTGCGGCGTCAAACGGCATGTAAGAACAGTAGAATGGCAAATCCTAAACATGAGAAGCCTTCAGTTTCACGGTCAAGCAGGAAGCGCGAGGATTCTAGTAAGTTCATTGTATAGATTCAGAACTATTCCATCCCACCCCCCCCCACCCCTCGACCCCCCCCCCCCAAACCTAAATACATATGAACTGTACATCATTACGTGATAAACGGTCCCGATATTATTCAAGGGCGATACATCACAAGAACAGGGCACATTAGTGTTGGAGATTCCCTACAGCGGGGTATTTGGTCCCTGGGGGAAGGAGTCTGGTCTAAGTCGTATCTGGTCTAAGTCGATCCCTACATCCACCTCCTTCGCCACTTCGATCGTATCAGAGGAGGGAGGAATCACTGTTGATCGTATAAAGCCACCTTCTAAGGGGGAGAGGAAAGAGTCTTACGGACTCGATCAGAATCCCCAACCAATTACGTGCCCCACCCAAAATAAATCACAAGATGTTCTGATTGTTGCCGAGCTGTCGAGCCTAGGGAAACGATCAAGAATTTATACATGGCAAGACGGAATATCCATGCAAAGTTCAAAGAATCTCGTTGGTCGAACAAATCGTAATTCAAATCCCGCTCAATTTCTTCACAGCAGCCTTCCCCTACAACCATAGCATCATATCTTAGGAAAACGAACCGAAAATAACGTCCGATGACCAATAAAGTTCTCCTCAGTGGTCATCTAATATTCTGGTTTCGTAGTCTTCCGCTTTTTATGCATCTGAGGATCATTTCTTCGAATAATGGTTTCGTTGTTTGAAGGGATTAGCTGCACGAATGGGCAGGAATGAGTATTGGACCAAATATGAATATGAATGTGAATGTAAGTGAGTTTGTCGCTATTATCAGCGACATCTTTTACATCTTTAATCAACGTGCTTTCGTGCAAAAATATCATAGCTCTGAAGGGGCACCAGACGAACGTTAGCATATTTTTTTCAGAACAGAGCACCGTTCCAGCCGACCATGGAGCAGAAACAGTTACTGCTTCTTCACGAGTACAAATTGTGCAAATTTCAGCAAGAAGATAGCATAGTATCTGCCAACATCAACCAGGCTTGGGGTCAAGGAACCGTCCGTGACCAATCAGAGTTGCTGAGCAATGATGATGTTCGTTTGTTGATAATTCATGAGTATCTACGGAACGTGTCAGCCGCTGCAGCAACCAGAAGGATCAAGCAAGCATGGGGTCCAGGAACAGTCTCCGAATCCACTGTTGCTCAGCGCTTCCGTCGGTTTAGGGAGGGGAACTATTATTGGGACGCGCCAGATCAGTATGTAGTACGTTGTCACCCAGAGCCCCGTCCTCAAGGAATACCTTATTTTGAAATTCGAAATAATGACGCGCCAGATCAGTATGTAGTACGTTATCACCCAGAGCCCCGTCCTCAAGGAATAACTTATTTTGGAATTCGAAATAATAGCGAGCGAAATTAATCCCTGTGGATATCCATGATGTCGGATTTAAACTGAGTCATACTGAATTGGAATAAACCTTTTTCCGTTTGCCTGCTATTTGCATATTGTCCTATTCAAGACTCATCAAACATTGACCTTTTTCTGGTTCATTTGTTGGCTCTTTTATAGTCGCTATACTTGATTTCGCTTTATTCTGTCTTCACTTTCCTACTAGAAAGTCCTTGGCAGCCGTTTTCTGACTGTTTCCCCTCTTTTGCATAACTTATCCAAATATTAGGGGAAAGGCACAGTGGCAAATGACAGATTTTTACCGCACGCGATTAATCAAATTCCGGTCCTGATTCCGCTCAAACCTATCTGCTTCCAGAACCGTCTGGAAGGATTAAAACACTGTGCACGTCGGCCGACCCCCGTAAGTCATCTGAATGGAAATCGAATGAGTGCCGCGTCCCAGAATGGGAATGACGAAGTTTCTCCGTTTTCACTAAATTATTGTATATCTGCCTTGGTCCAGGTATCCCGTATTGTGCTCTGGCTGAAATGCGTCTGTTGGTGGCAAATAAATGAATAAACATATAACAACTAGGCAGTAAGCCGAGAGCGAAATTAAGGACTTACAGCAAGCTCTTATGGGTTCCCTTGACCCTTTCCCATGCTTGACCACAGGAATAACAGTCGCGCTTTCCTTCGTTGTCTTGTGCTCATGAATATTACACAGACTGTAAGGACACTTGCTGAACCCTTCGTAAATGACGGAATGCAGAAGATTCAGAATAGTGGACTCTTTACAAGGGTAGTATACCGTCTTTCCTATATCCAATTCTAGGGGTAAACCAATCTGCGTCGGCGGGAGGGAATCGCCATTGAGGATCAAGTATCTGTTGGAGAACCTTCTAGAAGGGGTTGAATATGTTCCTCTACAAAAGAGATGGTCCTTTCAGAAGGAGTCAGTGGACAACAAAATTAGGACAACGTGAATGCAGGAGAGGAGTCTGAAACAGAGATAATGAAGTGGTGATGTGAATGATCAAATTTTGTGAGAATACTTCTCATACGTTATGCCTTACCGTGCTAAAGTACACTAAAAATTGAGAATTGTAAGGTGACGCGCCCGAGCGAATTTTCAGCTATCTAGACCATATCAGTGAGATGATTTGCTGCAACCTGGGGTGCTTCCTCCAGGGTGCTTACACACCTATCTCTATAACTTTTCTCGACACCACTCCGTACGTTATTTTAAGAATATTCGTGACTCCATCTATCTGATGGCATGTCAGCGATTTCCCTAACGAAACTGGGGAGCAGGGCAAGCGCAAGCGAAAATTGGG